ATTAAAATAAGTAAAATTAAATCCGATGAAATCCGTAAAATTAGTTTTATTCAATTTATTGTAATCGTGTAAATATTAAAAATCTTATTTTAAAAAAAATATTTAAGAAGGAAAACAGATAACTAAATAGAATAATTAGAGATTAGAAAAAAAATAATTTCACATTATGGAGTTGGCGCTCAGACATATTTTATAGAAAGATTAAAACCCCGATTTTTGATTATGGCAATATTTTATTATTTTTAGTCGTTTGGGAGTCCGCTTTACTCATTATAAAAAAAAATTCTTACCCTTTTGAATGGACGACTTCTCTTCCCCATAGGTTGTCAGGTTCGAGCTATATGGCCAGCACATTACTACTTCAGCTTACTAAACATTGAACTATGTCAGTTACTCTTGTTCTTCAGCGGATGTCCACGTTACCCATTTTATTCCACAGAGAAATTACGATCATAGCCCTTAGAAAGTTGAAAAGGGTCCCGGATCTCTACAGTCACCATACGAAACACAGGAGTAATAAGCTGCTATTTTACGCCCACTTGGTATTTTGTGAGAGCCTGGTCCTTCCCCGGTCGAGCCGACCCATCCGTGCTACAACCATACCGGTAATATATCTGCAGCATGGCTCTACCACGTAAGACTCTATACGAAATAAATAATTTTCGCATTAATGTAAGACAAATAATAAGTTTGAACTTTACATAACCAAGCATTAAATTTTAAGCGATATAACATTAACATTTCGCAAAAAAAAAACAATACCTGATTGGAAGACTAGGTACGTAACACAACACACATGTACGTGTGCAAATAATCTTATCTTGTAACTGTGAATCCAGTGTGCAGAATTTAGGTAACTTAAAGAACGTTACTATGCTATGTAGTATTTATTTATTTTGTAATATTAAGATGAAATAAATCATGGGCCTAAAAGTATAGAAAATACTTTTATAAGTATAACGCACTGTATGGTGCACAAATAAAAAAAAATCATCGTACTTTCACGAAAGTGTGATAAGGATCATAGAATGAGCACTAACCTTGTACCTACGTAAGTATTGTTAGTATTCAAACCGTTACTGAGTCGATACTGATAAAACAAATCATTATGCTAATTCATGTAGTTGTAAATTGACAGCTTTGTATGTATATTTGGGGTCCACACGAGGTGTGGCACGTACACACCCTAGGGCCTGATACGTCACCAGTAATTGACTCCATTGTCACTGACTCACTCCATTGTAATAATATTTGATATTCGTAAAACATAATTGAAGTAATATTTTTACAAAGAAAATAACGTAAATATGTAATTTCAAATATTTCAAATGCTTACATATTATACATATTACGTTACCTATATAAATAAAATATTATTTGAATATAATAGGTCGGACCAAAATTTTATATTCAAAAACTGAAGGTAGCCGGGCTAACTATGACATTGGAACGTCAAACGTCTCAGTCCTCCCCGTGACCATGGGTGCTGTAAAGCACCCGAAACGTCGGGAATTAAAACTAAGTTAATTAAACGCGATAAAATCCGTATAAATGGTTTTATTCAAAGATACCCAAGTTATTTGTGTTTTCAAACTACTCAAAAAGAATGACTTTTAATAATTTTCTATGAAATATCAATATGTATTTAATCTGTACATATAAGTGAAACTGACGTGTCTGTCTCAAATATCGAAACAGCTGGCGTCTATTAAGCTCAGGAGGCTTCTATTGAGCTCATCCATTATTTGCTTGCTACTTGCTACTAAGATATGATTGAGATTGAAGCGAAAGTAGCCTATTAGCAGGGCGCGGATCGAGAACTCAAAAGTTCGTGGGTTCGAATCCGCCATTTGACTACTGTCGTGAGCCACTCCTAAAACAAGCGTTTCAAGCCTACCGCGAGTGGTTAAAAGGAAAATTAGTAATGTTAATAATTTATAAGATTACTAATATTTAAAAAAATAAGCGTTTGTAAAATTTTATTTGTCGGTCTGTACGGGCTAGAGTTCAGAAAGTCTGGACAAATTTTCATGAAAAATCACGGACAGAGAGAGAGAGCAATGCTAGGAGTGATGTCGGTGGATTATATCATAAAAACATGCAGTTTTTTTTCTTTGAATCTGAAAAAGTTATAAAAAATGTTTTCTGATGATTATCTCACAAACTATAATAGATATAAAAAAAATTCTAACAAAACTTTTTGATTTGCATTGTTACATAAAAATACGTAAACTAAAAAGCACCGAAATTGGACGTGTATTACTTACATCGTTCCTCACCCTCACCCACCTTTGTACACAGGTGTAATAAACAATTGTATTCAAATTTGCAAAAACGCTTGTCTTAAATAAAAAGTTAGCGAAATGAATTACAATTGGTGTGATTTCCGTACTACTAAGGATAATTCTAAAATTAAATACTGCTTTTGCAAAAGGTTGTGGTTGCGCTGTAAATTTATCCAGGTAATTATTTAGATCATTACGATCTAAATGATATTGTTTAAACAGTTATATTGTTTTTACCTTTATTGAATGTATCACTTTACGATTCGTACGATTCGTAATGTCACAACTCAATACAAATTAAAATCAAATAGTGGATCAAGTCAATAATTCTAGCACGTCCTTAGAATTATTAACTTGATCAACTATTTGATCCGTAACGTGGAATAAAATACTGTTAATAGCTCGTGAACAAAATAACGATAATGCTCATCAGTTACTAATCGAAATTCCTAGTCATAAAAACAGAAATTATATTCATTAGTTTTCGTACTTGAGACTCTACTTTCGACAGACAGCATGAATCAGCTGGCAATCCCGATGCGTATATGTACGCGTTGCGAGTTCCGCACACGTGACCCCCATTTTAAAAGTTGTCACTCGTCAATGACAATGAAGGATTTAAAATTGCTTCGATTTGATTGAACTAAAATTTGTATTTAGTCACTGTAAACAAAAAGCTTTGTTAATAGTTTGTTGTATTGATTTAGATACCACGTGGTCGGCGCCGAGGAAATCTGCATGTTTGAGCCAAAAAAAAATATTTCGAGGATATTTGAAATCCATGGACACACATTAGGCTATCACGTCAAACTCTTATTTGCTACAAAACTCAATATTAAATTTAAAAAAAATAAGCTCCATACTTTGACCGTGACTACGAGCAATACAACAACAGCATCCACTTAGCATCAGGTCGACTATGTGAATTTTTTTTAAAAGCTTTTACGTTTTTATTAAAAGGCGTTTTATACAAAGACAGTAAAGTGTACACAAATACCAAATTATAATATATATTAAGGGGAAATATAACCTCAAATGGCTTAGCAAGATCCTCCGTTATGCCGAAAGTATTGCAGCATTAATTTTGAAATAAATATATGGTAAAGTTGAGGATTAATGTTAAGGTTTATGTTAGACGAAAACACGATTCCGTAAAATTTTCTCGATAGAAAAAAAAATCCAAAGTTACCTCCAAACTGAACAATAAACCGCTGTTATTCATAAAATACTTTAAATAAGATCATGAAACTTTGCATACTAACTGAACTAACCATAAAGCAGTGCTTATGTTATTTACTTTTTTTAAAATATCATTATTTTCACTGTAAAAAGAAATTACCTAAACTATCGGCGCGTAAGCTTGGTTCCTGTCGCTCCGTTAGTATCAGGGGTAGGACAGTTGCCTTGGACCACAAGAATTCAATTGAAGGTAGCGCCATCCATAATTTGTTTCATAAAACATTATGTTTATTATTGGTCTAAAATCTTCACAGATGTCGCTACTTTTAAAAAGAAACTAAAATTAGCTGAAAAATAAAATTAAATGCACGATAAATTTATTGTTTATAACAAATATTATTTTCACATAAAATAAAAACTTAAACATCATGAAACCAATCGATTATGATAATTATGATACTGGCCACCCTAAACTTCAAAACGTCAAATATTCAAACGAAAATGAAAGTCAAAATGGTGGCTACTTTATGCGTGTGCTCATCGTTATCTTTCTTGTTTCATTGCAAATACCCCATAAATACCAGTACACTGGTATTTATGGGGTATTTGCACTGAAACTGTTTTACCTACTTTTAATAATATCAAAAACAGTATTACAAAAAGTAGGCAGTAAAACTGTTTCAGTATGTATACGAATTAAAGAACAATATTATACATTTTACTACTATAGAAGAGGTATATGTAGAGCTATATATAGCGAATTAGTTCGGATTCAATTTGTAGGAGGCGCTAGTAGTTCAATTTTGTCTGCAATAAAATGTCGTCAGAGGGCTCTCTTTTCCTGTATATACTTATTATACTCTTTGGTTAGTATTGCTCCGGCTTTTGAAGGGAGAAGTTGTGTCGCTTACGATCAGAAAACACATTACGCAACAGGAAGACGTAAAATTAAAATGGGAAATAACCGTTATAAAAATAAGAAGCGACTGGGTTGGCGTTAAGAAACAGGCATATATATGATCTATATATGATATTCTAACGACCTATCTACTTACAGTATTAGTGATTACAAACATGTCGGTACATAGCATACGACGCGCGGGGAAGTGGGGGCGAAATTAGAACCTTCATTTTAAATCTTGATAATATTAGAAAGTGAACGTATTTACCACAAATATTATAAGTCACCAATAGTCACGTTTATACAGGCTCTACTCTAGTCTCTAGTAACTTAGACAGGTGCATTTGCGACCACTGTCATGGTCTTTTTCAAGTTTTCAAAATGTTTCTCCCGCCACCTGTCGGCTGCCATGAAATATCCCTACGGGTAAGACGCGACATAGAGGAAAGGCCGAGAAGACCTCGAGCCTCCGATAGATGGCAGTATAACAATTTCGGTTTCATGCCCGATGTGAATTTTATTAACACAAGATGGCGTGATAAAGTTTTACGACCACAGAAATCGTAGTGGCCTATTATTACGATTTCTGTGTTTACGACGCTCTTTATATACCTAACTGTTATTTTTAATTTCAGAGAGCAGTGGTAATATTCTGGGTGCAAGTGAATGGAATACTGGCTACCCGTCAACGCCGAGTGTTTATCCAACTTACGGAACTCTACAACCTCCCTACTACAAACCTGAGCCAACTATACACATACCTACAGGTAACTAAAATTCTAGTTAAATCACTAAAAATATCTAAGGGACCTTCAAATAAACACCTTTTTTAACTTGATCGAAGTTTTTAACCGAGTTAAAAAAACGAGAAGGTTCTGCACTCGATGCGCGTGTTATTTATTTGTATGATCACTAATCTAAATCTGTGATGATCACCGATTTCTCAGAAATGGTTGGACCGATTTTAAAGATTCTTATTTTAATAAATAGTTTATACAGTACAGCTTATACTACAGGAGTGGTCACTTATAAATTTTACAAAAAGATAAAAATAAAAAAAGGTCCAACTCTACTCGTTCAAGGTTAGAGTTGGACCTTTTTTATTTTTAATACAGTAACAATAAGATCTTTATCCTCTATTAATGTACTCGTAACCATTTAGTCGACATTCTTTTACCTATTTTTTACAGAAGAGGGGTGCAAACGAGCATGCGGCTCACCTGATGGTAAGAGGTCTTTTCGTCAGTGTCTACTTTTTACTAAAAGTTAAATTATTATACTCATAGTAATTTAAATCAGATTTGAATTCGATATGTATTTTCGTCTTTTTATATGTATTTTTGTAATTATTCATTAATGTTTTCATGCCGCCACCATAGGCACGGTGGTAGGTTGTAATTCTGATGGAAATCGGTGGCCAGTAGGAATCACTTCGAAATACGGAGTGTTACCTACAATGAGTTGGCGTATATTGCTTCTAGATTTACTACGAGCAGTCTCGTCAGAATAGGATTCAGATTTTGATTTTGATGCACGTATTGCATTAGCATTTACTAAAAGGCGAATAATTTGGATAGAAAGTTATAAAAAGCTTAAAAAGGACCGGGCGAATTTAACGCATTTTTTCAGCGACCAACCTGTATTTATCTGCAGGCAAAAGCCTATTCCATATTTGCATCTAGATGTTATCTGCAGATACAAATATATCTGCAGATATCTTTCGCTTTATGTCGGTGCTTACAGATACTTAAGGATAAAATATAAATTATCTGTTCTGTGTGTTAGTTCATTGAATTTCATAGAAAGCGATATTGAAAGATATTCGCTCAAATACATATATCGTATCCGCGTAGTGTGTGACACGCTTTAAGCTGCTAGTTGACGCAGGTATTTTGTAAGAATCTGATCTTTCCTCGTTCGAGCCGATCCATTCTTGCAACAGCCGTAATATAGATACAGTATGGCTCTACTACTGGCGAACTATGTAGCTATCACCGAATTACGTTTCCAGTGGAACCAACAATTGATCTAAAGCAAATGCGGGTCTGACCGTATTTTGATTATCAACAAATAAGAAAAACAAATAAAAAAACTAGAAATTTTCTTATTTGTTTTTTGTTGTTTTGTTATAAATTATAAAATCTTTGTCATTTTCAGTATTACCGGAAATGCCGCTCTGTCATACGGATTACGGCGGCTTCCAGACGGGTACTACAAGCTTTAAAGGCAGCCAGAGCGGATCTGCACCTGCGTTAACAGATCTCAATACAACCCCGTTGGCTGGCCATACAGCTACAGCAATGCCAACACAGACCCGATGCGAACCTAACTATTACAACTCCTGGCCCGCGAACACATACAATTATAACAACTACCAATACAACAACATCAACAACAACCCCACCTGCTTACAATCACACACGCCATACATCAATCCAAATCCACAAATGATCCTTCCCAACCTATACTCAACCGTAAACCAAAATCAAATCCACGTCCATTTGCACAGCTCTGCCGACAAAAACATCGAACAGTACATCCCTAGCGAAATAAAAATAAGCGATATTGATGGCGGCATTTCTATAACAACAGAGCTGCAAGGTGCGGGCGAAGCAAGTGGTCTTGTGCAGACTTGCGAAGCGACCGATGATGTTAAGCACGGACTTTATGGTGCTTCAAATCAAGAAGTATGGCGGCCCTATTGACAGTCCGATTATTATAGTTATAATGATTATGTTAACAAACATTCCATTGTACATATCGTGATATAGTTATTCCAATTGCAATCATTAATAGGTTTTAAATGTAAAGTAATTAGAATCAATTAATGTTAAACATTAATTAGATGTTAAGTGTTAATAAATGTAATAAATATAAATAATAGAACATTTCAAATATTTTCTGGTTTTATTTTTTTCCTGACTATGGCTTTTTATCGTAATTACTATACAAAACATAACATAATAAGTACCTACTTTGTTTTACATTTACCCAAACCTGTCACTGAATAAATTATTTTGATAAAAAGTTATGAAATATTTTTTTTGCTTTATTTTTAAAATGATTATTTCGAATATGCCTAACGAAAAATAAAATACCCAACCTTTTTCTTCCTCAAACTGTACTGTACAGCTACGATATAGTAATATTTACAATATTAAACTTTATTTCGTACAAACGCCCATACCTAATGTGAGAGTGTGACAATTTTTACTAAATAACTATGTTATGTCTTTGTACGTGGTAGAGCCACGCTGCAGCTGTATTATAGTTGCTACAGTCCCTTCAGCGGTGTCAAGTTGACTGTCGGTATATCGAAGTTCTGAAGTGTTTGTACAGTACGGCTACGATGGCTAGTACAGAACCAGAGTTCGAATCCTGTCTAACTGCAGAGAGGTGTAAGACAGGGTGACGTTACATCCCCGAAACTCTTCACCGCTGCGTTGGAAGACGTTTTCAAGCTACTGGACTGGAAAGGATACGGTATTAACATCAATGGCGAGTACATCACTCACCTTCGATTTGCCGATGATATAGTCCTTATGGCAGAATCCCTGGAGGACCTTAGCACTATGCTCAATGACCTCAATGGTGTCTCCCAACGGATAGGTCTTGAGATGAACATGGACAAAACAAAGATCATGTTTAATGTCCATGTCACACCTATGCCGGTAGTGTTGGGAGCACTATGCTCGAAGTTGTTGACGAGTACGTTTACCTGGGACAAATAGTCCCACTAGGTATGTCCAACTTCGGAGGTCAAGCGACGGATTCAACTCGGCTGGGCAGCGTTCGGGAAATTACGACACATCTTCTCGTCAGGTATATCTCAATCTCTGAAAACTAAAGTGTACAACCAGTGCGTGTTGCCAGTGATGACTTACGGATCAGAGACGTGGTTCTTCACTGCTGGCCGTATGAGGACGCTCAAGGTCGCTCAGCGAGCTATGGAGAGGGCTATGCTCGGAGTTTCTCTGCGTGATAGACTCAGAAATGAGGATATCCGCAGTAAAACCAGAGTGACCGACATAGCCCAACGGATTAATAAGCTGAAGTGGCAATGGGCCGGCCATACAGCTCGATGAACCGATAACCGATGGGGAAGAAAGGTTCTCGAGTGGCAGCCTCGTACCGGTAGGCGTAGTGTAGGGCGACCCCCCACTAGATGGATTGACGACCTGGTAAGACATGCAGGAAGGCGATGGATGCAGGTGGCTCAGGACCGTGCTTTGTGGCATTGCTTGGGGGAGGCAGGAGGGAGTTCAGCAGTGGACTTGTGAAGGGCTGTAATGATGATGATGATGACGAATGGTTCGGCTCAACCGGGACAGGACCACGCTCTCACAGAATACTAGCGTAAAATAGCAGCTTAATGCCGCTGTGTTTCGTATGGTGAATATAGAGAACCGGAAACCCTTTTTACTGAAATCGAGGCATTCCGTCCTGGTCCTCAGTGGTGACAACACATTTGCATTTTGATTCTTAATCGAGAATAAATGTGGATGTCTATGGGCCACAGCATCCACTTTGTGTGCTCGTGTGTCACCCAATGCTATAAAAATGTTGGTATTGTTAGAATTTATATAAGTATTTCATTTCTATTGATATTTATAGCCGATTTCTAAGCTCCGCCCAGAGTAGCTGACAGCGGCAATCTGCAAGGTTAGCTAATATAAATTAAGATGTAAGTCTGCGTTGAAATCATCTGGGGACAAGGCAGTGCCCCGGTCAAGTTGAGCAAAAAAGCGGCACGGCCGTACCATACTTTTCTCGGAGCAATGCAGACCATTTTCGACCTCCTATAACTTCGTAGTGGATAAAACTAGAAGCCAGAATTTTCAGTAACCAAGTAGGCATTGTATAAATATGGTATATCTCAAATTTCATTCAATTTGAACCAGTAGCTTAAGAATTATAACTATATATGTATATTATATTATAGTCAAAGTTTCTTAATTTTGTAACTCACTGACTGACCGATCATCAAAACTCTAAGATACTTCTAGCAGATATAGAAGCTTCAAAATTAGAATACAATTAGGGTTTAGTGTATAAATCAAGGAAAAACTAAAACATTTTTTATTTCGGTCCAGTTTTCTAGATACACCAACTGCATAAATAACTTTGTAATACCATATAAATATATAGAATTACAAAGTTACATTTGCTGTGAATGAATCAATGTACTTGTATTAGTACTACGCAATCTAATTTAATATAATATGTATTACTTGTGAGATACATTGTCTATATATTTAAAACATAAAAGATTTTTAACATTGATATGGTCACTAAAAATGTTGTTAGGTTAGCTAATTACGTAATAAAACAGAAGGACCCTTAAGTAGTGACTGAATAAATTAACCGACTTGGTATTACATGGATCTCACAACTTTTTACGGTAGAAGAACTGAGTTGCGAGACTTGTTTTTTATATAAGTTATGTTTTTGATGGCATTGTTTTTACATATTGTAGAAAATCATCTTAGCTGGTAATAACCCCGCTGCGGTGGTGTCAACGAGATCATTTTCAGTATATCTACTATTGTCACTATTTTGTAGACACTATAACATTGATATTGATTTTTTTCACATAGGGATAAACAACGTGATCATCATCAACATAAGCGACCGCGAACATTTCCGAAGCGTTAAAGCGCTATGGCAGTCCTGTCAGCTACAGCAGCCTAAAAGCGGTGTTGTGAATGTGTAAATAGCACATAGTCTTTAGGACAAATCTATTCATTTCATCCATTAGAGCTAAAAAGTCCAATGCTGAACATAAACTGTCGATACGCGCCGGCATCGCGCGAGAGCGATTTACCAGTGTGGCGTTTACGTCTTGATTACAAAACATTATAACGTTTATACTAAGTGATATGATAACTTATATAGAGTAGAACTATATGATAATTTAAGTTTTTAGTTTCAGTTTTTTGAAGTGAAACTTCTTTAGCATCGTTGTGATTTGAAAGTCTATGAAACAAAAAGCGACAGTAAAATGAGACAGTCACAAAAATTCATAAGAATTACGTGGGAGAAAATGAGATAGGAAGCATTATGGATTGTAACTCAATGCTCGCAAGAAAAAACGCACTTGGCGGGCGGGCTTGCAACTACACTTTTTTATTTCAAGTTGTTATCAGGAAGATTCCGCTGCGCAACTCCTGTCTCAATTTCCCTCTATCGCCTCTAATGACACCTACGGGGCAAAATAAACTTTACTACTAAAAATACTTTTAAACGACGAAAACAGTCAAAATGCTGTAGACTGTAGTTTAGTAAGAAATTCGAGTTCAAGTCTAAACCCAGCAGTGTGGCATGGCTCTTTGCCGCCCGAGGCCACCAGAGCCAAAAATGACGCAAGTGCAACTTATTTTCAGATTTTATGAGGTTTTTACAGGTAGCATTAAAAGTTAAGTCGAAAGCTGACTTTCTTTCCCAAGATATAGCCCCTAACATACCCTTTAATCTATTCTCATCTGACAGTGTGTACGCACGCAGAGAAACTCCGAGCGTTTCCTCATACAGTCAACAGGGAAGGACCACGTTTCAGATCCATAAGTCATCACTAGCAACACGTACTGGTTGTATAATCTGCTTTTCAAGTTTTGAGGTATAGGTAGGTACTTAACGAGAAATGAATATTTCTTAATCTCCCGAACGCTGCCCAGCCGATAACAGCAGTTCGTGGCATTTTTAAACGATCGTGAAGATTAACGTAACCAATCGTCTTGACACAACACTCACTACTAAGAGTACCGCGACGTTCGCTTAGGAGTCTAGTAGTGATGTATGTTTTTGTGAGTGTGCCGTTTTGAGCGTTTGTAGGTGGTTTCCGTACTGTTCCATATTTATACTGTGTCATATCCATCCTAGCCTGTGACCCAGTGTAGTGACAAGGTGAAAGATGCCTACTAAAAGTAGAATATATAATAATGTAAAAGCAGAGTAAGTAGGTAATATTACCTATATAAAATTACCAATGGGCCACAGCACCTACTTACCATCAGGTGGACTACGTAATCGTTTGTCATTCCTATATTATTTGAAAAAAAACTCATGCATTTGGATAGATGGCGGTATAACATCGTTTACGTTAGATAGTTCAAAGTAGTTAGGTAAAGAAAGAAAATATAATACTAATAATACTACAATTTTGACTTTACGATTTATCAAGTCTAGTTTAAAATTTAAGAGGAGTATAAAAAAAACCGCGAAATTACAAGGTTTCCTCGTTTAAATTATATGATTTTCGTTCGTTGCTTGAAATAACAATTACTTGGTAACTTCGATCAACAATGTTGGTCGAAGCTTGATAAAAATAGTTCGTTTTCTCTACTAAAATAAGCTCAGAGCAAATTTTAGATAACTTATTTATTTATTTAGTAATAATCATTCTCCCGATGCATGTTTAGGCCAAAACTCTGAGAGTAATGATTTGGGAGCTCTAATGTAGATTCTATTGAATATTGACCATCAAAAAAAATATTTCTATCTCACAAATATCCTATCCTTTAACAATCATAAAATACATTTTCTTTATATTCCTTTCACGTAAGGAAAAAATATCGACATAATTCTATTAACGACCGAAAAAGCTTCGATACAAGCCCCAATATCTAAGTTATACATCATTATGACTTAAAATTTATACTAAATTAATCATCAACATTTACTTAAACTATACTAGGATTTTAACATTTTAAATCGATACTATTTTTTTACGTTCTCTTAAAGATCTACAGACTGATTTCCCTTCTGAGCCGCGTTTACGTGCCATTTTATAGAGTTATTACAAATCGTCTCGCACGCAGAGTCAACGACTTCCAGCCTCGCGAACAAACCAGTTTCCAAAACGCCTTTAGCACCATAGACCACGTACATATCTTTCGGCAAATTGTACAGAAGACCGAATAGTACAATCGGCCATTTTCTTTCGCGTATGTAGACTATGAGAAAGCCTTTGAAATTTGTGGGTGGAAAACCAGTACTTGAAGTCGTTCAGAAGATCTTTAATTCCGTCCATCATGTTGACAGTACTCCAGATGCGTGAAGCAGAAGTGTTGTGGTCTTATTCTTCAAAAAAAGCGACAACGTTCTCTTGAAAAACTACAGACCGATTTCCCTTCTGAGCCGCGTCTACGTGCCATTTTCTAGAGTAAGTTTAGTTTAGTTTAGTTTAGTTTAGTTTACGACGGGCTGTTTTCCGCAACTCCACGTCTAAGCGCGTATTTTGCGTGTTTGGTATAATTTTCTAGAGTTATTACGAATCGTCTCGCACGCAGACTCAACGACTTCCAGCCTCGCGAACAAGCTGGTGTCCGAAAAGGCTTTAGCACCATAGATCACGTACATATCTTTCGGTAAATCGTACAGGATACCGCAGAGTTCAATCTGCCACTTTCTCTTGCGTATGTGAACTATAAGAAAGCCTCTGAAATTTGCAGGGGGGTGCTACAGTACTTTCAGCGGCTTGCTGAGCTGACTGTCTGTGTATATCGAACTGCCGAAGTATTTGTACAGTAGGGTTACGATGGCTATCTGAGTACAGAACCACAGTACGAAACCTATCTAACTGCAGATAGGTGTAAAACAGGGTCACGTTATACCCCCAAAACTCTTCACAGCTGCGTTGGAAGACGTATTAAAGCTGGACTGGAAAGATAGGATGTTAACATTAATGGCGAGTACAGCACTCACCTTCGATTTACCGACGATATAGTTCTATTTGCAGAATCGCTAGAGAACCAGAGCACTATGCTCAATTGCTCAATGACCTCAATAGTGTCTCAATAGTGGTCTTAAGATGAAAATGGACAAAACAAAAGTCATGTGTAACGTCCATGTCACACATATGCCGGTAGTTGTTGGGAGCATTAATCTCGCAGTTGTTGACGAGTATATTTATTTAAGAACAAATTAGTCTGACTAGGTAAGTCCACCTTCGACCGAGAGGTCAATCGACGGATTTTACTCGGTTGAGCAGTGTTCGGGAAACTACGACACATCTTCTCGTCAGATATACCTCAAAACCTCAAAACAAGATTGTATAACAGGATATCCGCAGTAGAATCAGAGTAAACGACATAGCCAGTGGCGAAGCTTCCATAAAAGCCGAAAAGCCGGGCTTGCCTTATTAAAACTGAATCAATCAATAATATCAACTAATAAAATAACTCATAAACTGTTTTAAATTATTTCAATTTTCCCGCGCACTCCACTTTTTGACACATGTCGACCGATGACCTCGTATTGCCTTAGCGATACGTTTATACAAAGGTACTCTGTGGCGATACTGCTGCTGTCATAAAAAGTGAGTTTTAATAGAGCGATTAGTTGTCTCCCTCGCTCGCGTGGGCTTTTTACGGGGCTTTCGAGAAGACGATCGCTCTCTTTCTAACCTATGGCAAAATATTCTATAATAAAATATAACTACGAAATGTTTATATAGCAATTACTATTGAGCCACAAGCCTGGCTTTGCCCTGAAATTGTTTAGGAGTGCGTAGGAGGCCCGCAACCACTTCGCTAGTCGCTAACTAGCGAAGTGGTTGCGGGCCCCTCGTATGCAAGTTCACTTCACATTTCAATGTTTATGTTTGTTTTTGTTGTGTTTGTTAAAAATGTATGCTTTTTCGAAGATTTTCAGTGAAAATGGGAGGATAATAGTGTTCATTGTGATGAATATAAATGTGTTAAAGTGCTAATCGGCGAGGAAAAGGTAAAAATCTTTAAAAATGAAATTTAATATTCAATAAACATTTCTTCATACTTTAAATATAGGTACTGGACTCTTTAGTATTAAAGTTTAATTAAGTTCGAAAGGTTTAATAAATCAATATTTATATTACCATACGAATTAAAAATATCAATTTGAACAGCAGCATAAAGTATGAGACTTAGGTTTAATTTTAGAGGAAATAAGTGTTACAATCTTTTTTTAACGTGAAGCCCAAATATTAATTAAATAAATCAAAAGAATACAGAAGAATGTATTGAGGTTTTTAAAGAATAGTACTCCCTTTAGTTATTTCGAGTTAGGTTTGTCTGTCTACTTTCCAGTATGTAAAATTTTAATGGCACCATCTACTTAATTCTATAGGTAAAGTCATTTTATCGAACGAAAATTGGTTGATTCTCACGATGGTACCTAAAGATTAATAGATGGCACATATAGATGGCAATCGCTAGATGGCACAAATACGCTATCGGCTAATTTATAGTGATATATGAGTTTAAAAATATCATTTTGTACGGTTTATTATGAATTGAAAATGAATAATTATAATTATAATAAATAGTTATTATTTTATGGTAAAAAATTAGCATAGCTTGATCTTCTCATTATAACTATCTAATTCCTGTCGTAATCTGTTCTTTTATGCATATAACTTAAACAAAATATAATTTCGAGGTTTCACATCTGCCAGGCGTCCCTTTTTTAACTTTGTAAATACTTTGTTTGTACTTTGTTCATGCTTTTCTTTTGTTCATGTATTGTATTGTTTGTAAATATCTCAAGCAAACCCAAACGGCTATTTTCAAAACCACCGAAGGTGTGCAATTGCATATTATGTTATACAATCTAGATAGAAGCACACAGAAAGCATACTACCGCTAGATAGCGGTAGTATGTTTTTTGACTTGCAGCGCCGCTAGATACCGCTAGATACCACTAGATAGCGGTAGTATGCTTTTTGTGTGCTTTGTTAAATACGTCCTTGTCAGCACTGAATATGAAACTAAAGAAAGTGAAAGTGAGCCTCATGTCAAGAGTGACACCTAAGTACTTGGCGGTCTTTTGCCAGGGGACAGGGGTTCTTAACATCTGGATTGGCGGAATAGTAGTGAGGCGGCACGGCGTCGTTTATGTTCGAAGCATCCTAACGGTTTTTTTTGCGCCCGAAGCAAATATGGGCAACCCTCCGGAAAGCGGGGGAGGGAGGTTGAGAATGCTCATAGCATACCACGCAGCCGGCTGCGTGGTTATGTGGTGACTTTTACCCACTAAAGTCAACCTTTTAGGAAGTGGCTTAACGATCTGACTAGAGATCTCTAAGCCGTATACGAACGCGACCCTCCTTGGCAGAAAGGAGGGCGCTGTCCTAACGGTGGCAGCTCCGTCTGTTTTATACAAGCAAAACAAGTAGCCACACGGGCGACACTGCACGTGCAACGTACAGGTGTGGGGTGCACGTGTTGTTTACAAGAATTATGGCTAAATACAGAAACGCTGCTGCACGTGCATATCATACTTATGTTTTTCTTTCATAAGGAACAAATATTTGTTTTGTAAAAAGTTTAGAAATTATGAGTTAGGGCTAGGGTCGCTTTTTGTTTGTGGTTTTCTTGTAGTTTTAAAAAATAAAATCTGTTGGAGAGCTAGTTCAATTCATACAACTTTATAATTTGTGGTTCAATTGTTGGCAGCACTGAAAATAAGTGATTATATTTTATACTCTTTGAGCAACATCATAGATAACATACATTACATGGCAACATTGTTTATAAGTGCTACGTGATAAAATGGCGTCGATGAATTTTGTGAAAGTCTACTACAACAATTAAGTTTCAGTGATAATTCAAGTGTTAACTAAAGTTTCTTTGATTTTGTTTCATTGTTAATTAAATACGTACGTAACACCCGTGAGTATACTTTGTTGATTTGTCAATTTTTGTTTCAGGTTTCTGATAACGGATAACTGCAATAAATCAAAGCTGCAGAAATGTATTTGTTACAGAATTAATACAAATTATTTCAATTTGATTACAGTTGAACCAAGTCTTTTAACAATATTGTGAGAGTGCAATGTCAGAAGAGATAGATCGGCATGGTGAGGCGACGTGTGATGGCGTCTCAAGCCCAACGCGGGTGTTGTTGACCTCTCAACAACTGGACAGTGCGAGCATTGAGTCACTTCGTGCCTCGTGGAGAAACCAGGACTTGTACATTGATCATCTTGAAACTTTGAACAAACAGCTGGAAGGTATTTACGAAAAGGTTACAACGGCTTGGTAGCGTCGTGGTCGGCGTCAGTACGACCCGCGACCTCATCTGTGCAAACTTTTTTAGTTACTTATATCGACAATACTTTAACTAAAATATTTAGTGATACTGTTACAATATCTATATGTCACTGTGATATTGAATTTAAAAAAAGAAGATATTGAATTAAATAAAAAAAAATGTGATGCGAGGTGTATTTAGGTGATAATTATAACCACAGAAGAAAGGTGTTTTGCTGTGTCAGAGCTGTGCAAGTGGAGTGATCAGTGGAAGTGCATAATAGCTATATGGGGTCAAGTGTAAACTCCAGGTTCTCATGAAGCTGTGTCAACAGTGTGTTGGGAAAGTCACAATGACTGAGAAGAAAAAAAAAGTTATTACTCCAAGTAGACAGCATGAGAAAGTAAATATGTTTTCCTTTATTTATAATCATAAGGTTTTAATTTTGTATTTAACAAGTACCTACATTGTATATCTTAATGTATTATTCCTATGATCAATTACAATTCATTTCAAAGTTCATATAAATGATTTGTTAAGTCTTAAGATTTATATTTTATAGTTATCGGTAAAATTTTAGTTTTTGGAAAGGCTTGTTTTAATTATTATTTATTGTATGTATGAATGAACAAATGCCATGAATTACATTTTTTCTAATGCCTAGCTGCATGCATCATCAAAATAAGTTAACACATTGACAGACAGTAGTATCCTGTACCTTTAAATGAGCAATTCTTGTGTATGTATATATATATATATAATCGGAATCTCGGAAACTGCTCCAACGATTGTCATAAAATTTAGTGTCCAAGGGGTTTCAGGGGCAATAAATCGATTTAGCTGGGATTCATTTTTAGAAAATGTCATTTTGTTTCTAGGCAATGAAAAACTGTTACAATATAAGAAGGTAAATTTTGGCCATGTTAAAATTTAATGATCGTAATAGCTCATGTGGGATATCCGGCGGTCGTGAAATTGAGGTGACCTGGTTCACGTCCTGTCTTCAATCCGCCATTTTTTGTTTTTTTTTTTTTCAAGTTCCCATCTTTTGTGAGGAAATCTATTATTTCCAGCCCCTTTTTTAGTATTTTTTTAAAAACACGAAAATTTAAATTTAACTAATTGCACTCATAATTTTTTATTCAAATAACCAGTTCAGTTTTTTCTATTATGTCAATAAGATCAAAAATATTATTCATGTTTCATCAGTATGTAATTTGTATCTAAATATAATTACCAAAACACACAATTTCCAAAAAAAAATTAGAACATCAAACAGTAATATTAGTTTTGCTGTCTGAATAGTGCCATAATGTTGCGATAATTTATTGTGGCCAATACTTACTTTGCTTGTCTGCAATCTTGATGAATTGTGAAAAGCCAAGCATGTTAGTTGATAAAGTGTTAACATGCCTGAAAAAGAAAATGTCTAAGTTGGTACAATCGGTTCCAGACCTTTGGCATCTCATGCAGATTCCTCTCAGGCTAGAACCAAAGCATGCTGTCTATCATCAGCAAAGATTTTGACTTAATATAAGCATTTCATAAACTAAGTTCTGGATCAATTTTTCTTTATTATCTTACGAATCTTAAGACTTTAAGTAATAATGCGTCTTAACAGTAAGCATGAAACAGTATTTACCTAATCATTTCTTATATTCACAAAAATACTACACATTAAATAAAAGTAATTTTAATAGTTTCTATTTTATTTACTCAAAGTTTAGGGCGCTCAAAATCACTCATTACAATCATAATAACCAATTCAAAGGAGTTAAAATTAAACACAATAAAATACTTGAAATGAGTTTTATTCAGTATTTACCCTTTAGAAAATAATTGTGTGTAAATACTGTGGTGTAAAAACCACCGAGCACCACTCAACTGTTATCAGAAAATGCCCTGCCCATCTCATTTCATTACCTTCTGTCACACCTTTGTCAAACATTGCAAGCATTACTTGACTGATTATATGTCAATATTACTCTTAAAGATGTAGTATATGTAGAGGGATGTGATCTTAATAATCTTTGCCTAGTAGAGGTTGCAATCCTTTGAGGCTGCTCCCCGTCGCCGGTCGTCTGGGTGTTTTTGGTCTTGCTAATCGTAATTGTTATACTGCCATCTATCGGAAAGTATGAAATATAATGTCAATATGTGGATCAACAATTTGAAATATTTCACTATCAGTAGAAGTCTAGTTGACATTACTTTCTATAGTATGGAAAACAAATTGTCATGATGTTAACAGCTTTCAACCCTACAGTCCGTCAATGTAAATGTATTATCTTATATGTACCTTAACATATATATGATATTAAACTATAAGTTAATGATTATTATTGCTGATGTTTAAAACTACCAAAATATACTTTAAATTTGTTAACAATGGTGATAAGACAGTGATTAGGTCTTGTTGCTTTTTAATGCTTTGTATTGTAGTATAAATGCTAATTAAATATCTATACAATTTATTAATTATATCATTTTTTGGCTTATTTTAATAATGCTTAAAATTAAATGAAAAACAATAGTAACAACTACAGTCAAACCTGGATAAGCGAGAGTTCAAGGGAGCACAATCTCATTCTCGCTTATAGAGGTTTCTCACTAACCCAAGTTTCTCGCTTATGTAGGTACATGGGTAGCGTTTCTCTCTTATAGAGGTATGCAGCAATAACAAGTCACAGCAAGTGCGAATGTCGTAAATATGTAATATGATAAAATTAGGTGAATAATATGCACAACATATATTATGTACATATATATTTTTATATAGTGTGTATATGTTACATTCATTAGATTTCGACATATAAGTACTTTATAAGGGTAGGTATCAAGATGCTTACGAAAACAAAACAAAAATTCATGCACTATGTTATTTTATTTAGAACTTATTTACACTTAAAAAAATCCGTCAATTTCGTTTGGGTTTCTGTTTTTGTATTTTGAATGTTTTTCTCTAACTCATAAATTTTGTCGAATATTGCTTGATCAACAACCGCCGCATATTCAAACACATTTAATCACTCTGTATCTTTTATGTATATATGTATTTTAATTGTAGCTATATTTTAATTGTAGCTATATTTCCTTCTAAATAATATAAATAAATAAAGCTCGACTGTCGCTTATAGAGGTATAGATAAGTAGCAGTCTCACTTACGGAGGTCCATGAGTGAAAAACTACTCTTATAGAGGTTTCTGTTTCTCGCTAATAGAGGTTTTGGAAGCTTAAAATGGCGAGTCCTGGCTATTACTCTCACTTATAGAGTTTTCTCACTTATCCAGTTCTCACTTACCCAGGTTTGACTGTAAACCAATTAATTTTGCACTTAAGGTGAGTACTGATTAAGAATGTTTTTTATAATATAATAGTTTAGATTACAGTATTTCAATGCTGAATATTCTTCTGATAAGTTCTTCCTTTGTAATGTTATTCTTGAAATTGTTTACTGAAATGCAAATGATAAAATAAAAAATATTGCAAATGAACCCTGGCCTAATATAGTGTAATGAATCCTGGTCGAACCATAAGATAAAAATATTGCCATGAGTTTAAATCTGATGCCCCATAAATTTTAGCCATTCCAAACTTATTCTGTTAAAGCTTGGTTCCTGTGTTCAAAAAACCTATTTTCTGTAGTTTACCTATGTTAAAACTATAATAACAGTATACTTGATTAGCAGTTTGTCTTCAAAATGGAACTTGGGTTTCATTTTTGCAAATTGTCCAACTAACCAAAATCCCAGAATCAAAAATAATGTATATATTATGTGTATATGTAATATAGGGAATAATGAAAACATATCATTTGCTTGTTATTACAATTCACTACTTTTTAAATGAAAATATATATATATATAATTATATGCTTAAAGTATTTGTGAATTGATTAATAAATATTTCAAGTTTTGATAATTTACGATACAACTTTTAATATAATTACTACATCATAAGTTTCCGAATGCAGACAAAAGGCGATGATATCCAAAATATTGTACATGAATGATAAGAATATAGGAACAACCGAATAAGGGGATAAATTTGAACATTACTCTTATTTATTAGTTTTAAGAAAATACATTAGTGAAGTAAATACACAAAGATTAATTTAAGTCAAAAATATACTTGTTGCACATATTACTAATTTGAACATTTTCATGTCCTGCATAAGTTCTGAAGTTGTTTAGCAATGTCAGTTTGAAAGCCCTATTCTCATGTACATATTAAAGCAATTGTCATTATATAATTATACTACTACTACTTCCCTGCAATTTTGTCTGTGTGGAATTTATTACTATTGGATTTTATAGGTTTTTTTTTGGATGGTACTCTATTCTTTTGCTGAAATAAAAGTAGCATATGTTACTCCTTATAACATGAGCTGTCTGCCAGTAAAAGTCTTATCAAAATCGGTCCAGCCATTTTGGAGATTAGCCAGAAGAAACAGATGGACAAAAATTTAAATATTTTTTTATAAGTTCAGTATATACTTTCATATGCATTTAGTAAAAAGTGGTTATTTTTACATTACAAACAAACACTTCATATAACACATATTCAGATTAAGGACACAATCTACTTGAAACTATTACTTATTTATGATTATTCATATTTCCGCTTAGATATAATTCTAAAATATAAAATACCTCTATTCAAACTGTTAAATGTTACATCATTGGTGTGTGTCATATAAGAAATATCCTGTATTTAGTTAAGGTGTTGTCGATGTTAGTTTTGTATTAAGATGTTAAAAATAAGCTTTCTTCTTGCTGCCACTTTTTTATAATTTGAAGTTATTAGTTATTTAGTTTTTCACAAAAATGCTATTTGATTAGGTTTTGTACTTGTATGAAAATATATAACTATTTTTAATATAATATAAATTAGGTACAAATTAACTGAGATTCTCTTTTATTTCAGTTTTGATTAATTATTTTTTAGTTTCATTTTTTGTTCCGTTCATTAAATGATATACCTATCTTTTATAAACAACATTTGCCAAGTTAAATTTTATTAAGTCATAAAATAATTATTGGTAATAATCTTGAGTGTTATTAATTTCCTAGTATAATGATATAGTTATGGAAAATTAACATATAATAACATAATAAGAATTAACTAAATAAAAATTATATTTATAATGTTCTGTTTTATACTGTTTGGTTATATATGTCTCAGTTAATTTTTGTGCAATATAAGTGCTTAAAACAAACAAGAAACTTATCTAAATTTAAATTAGTATTTATGTTTGTGCAGGCAACCTGGAAAAAGCGAAAGAGGTAGAAGAAAGAAGCAAACAGCAGTATGCAGAATCACAACATAGAGAGAAGGTACTTGTTAGAAGGCTTGCTGCAAAGGAACAGGAGATTCAGGATTATGTAGTAAGTGACATTTAAATATATCTAGATTTTCTCTTGCAAATGTTTTGATTAAAGGAAAACAGTAAATGTTTCATCACAATCAAATGATGACAGGGGATTCTAGGTTCTTCACAATCAATTGACGAGTTAGCTGCAGAAGATATAGGTGAAAGTGGAATGTGAAAACTAGATAGATGCACATGGTGTCAGCCATGTTCTGAAAAGAATACACCCCATTGTAATAATAGGGTTTGTTGTAATATTACTCTAATCATTTTTAGCTACTTTTAATTGTATATCTTATAATCCTCCACCACCGCCAAGTGAATATCTAGAATCCTAAATTTCTATTAGTCCATTGAATTGTGTGGGATTATTTTATACTTTTTCGAGAAACAAGTTTAGCTCTATAATGTTCGTACAACTGTGTGATTATTAGTGATGACTCTTATTAAATGTCCTTCCAAGACTATGTATAGTCCTGACCCACATACATATACATCCTTGAATTTGCTGCGTGCCATATAGCTATTACAAACTATTTTTTTTATAGAATAAGGATGACAAACACAGTCCACCTATAGTAATAGTCCACAAATAGTAAGATAGTAAGTGGATGCTGTGACCCTGTGACATCTACAATCTATATATCTCTCTCTACTATCCTTGACTAAGAATCAAAATGTAGATATGTTGTTACCCCTGAGGACTAAGGTAGAAAGCCTTGTTTCCAGTGAAAACGGTCTCCAGTTCTCTACACTCGCCATATGAAACAACAGCATTAAGCTGCTATTTTATGCTTTTATTTATTCTGTAAGAGTGTGGTCATTCCCCAGTCAAGCTGACCCATTCTTGCTACAACTATATAGTAGACATGTGTCATTCATTCATTTCTAGTGACCCAATTATTCAAGTATTAATTCGTCTTTTGAACTAGGTAATTCGGGTCTATCATTTAAATGGATCAGTTTCAGTACTCTGTGATCTGTGAGACCTACTTAATAATGTCGGACATTACTATATCTTTGGCCTTAGGTCCCTTCAATCACTTGTTCCGGAACATTAAAAAAAGTAATCATCAATACTTTAATGCAACCTGGGTCAAATGAACGAATCATTCACAATTGAGACATGTCTGCCATATAGCTGCAGCATGGCTTTACTACGTAAAAACTATTATTATTTTCATACAAATTTGTCAAAATTAGCAAACAATATTTCAAAGGCATATTATTTTCAGAGTCAAATTAATGAATTAAAATCATCACATGCAAGTCTTCAGGGACGACCAACTCTTTTAGATCCAGCTGTGAATGTCCTCATTTTAAGGTTAAAACAAGAACTTACTTCAACTAAAGCAAGACTAGAAGAAACTCAGAACGAATTGTCAGCATGGAAGTTTACGCCTGACTCAAATACAGGAAAGAAACTCATGGCGAAATGCAGACTTCTTCATCAAGAAAATGAAGACCTTGGCAGAATGACATCGAGTGGTAGAATAGCTAAATTAGAGGGCGATTTGGCACTGCAGAAAAGTTTTAGTGAGGAAGTAAAGAAATCGCAATCAGGTATGAGCCTTTTATTTTAACATCTTATATTTATTTAATCTTTTTTTTAGGTTTAATTTATTCACTATTATATTATAATTTAATTTATAACATTGAAGTATACACAATATTAAGAAACTCTAATAAAAAAACTAAACTAAAAACTCAAATTATATACTCCCCATGGTATAGTGCCAAGAATACTGGCTGTATTTCCTAGGTGAATGGCTATACTTAGCCTTTGGGCGAAAAAAGAACCAGCCCTCTTATCACCAGCAGCAACAACCAGTCGCAGATACAGTTCCTTTAGGAACTTCACCTCATGTTGACCTCTCTCAGAAACTCGTATTTGCACCTCTTACTTAGTTCAGCTGCCTCTAATGCCACTATTAAATCTTATGTCAGAATTATCATGCCATGACATTTTATGTCAGGGTTACATTGGGCAGATGCAATGCCATGTGCTTTTCTTTAACAGGCAACTATAGGAAAACAGTTTAAGTTAAAACTTAAGGTAGTAAGATTTTTTCTGCCTTGGTGGCTGTCTGTGTAGGTACTACCCTCTTACCTGTATCTGCACAATAGTGTTCTGGTCTGAAGGGTATAGAGAGCCAGAAATATTGCAGGCTGTGAAACATTTCATCTTAGACCTCAGAGGTGATAATGTAACTACACATACAACTTCAAATAAAAAGGGCTTTTATTTGAAGTTGGCTGCTTGCATTTATGGACTGTAGACATCACTTATTACTAGGTAGGTTCCTTTGTCACCTCAGTTTTATAAAATAAACCATCAAAATAACCCACTAATACAACATGTTATTAGCTTTAGAAATCACTAAAATTTAGGGGAGCCAAAAACTCATAAACATGTTTTTATTCATTCTTAGTTTTAGTACAGAATGTCATAAAAACTTTCAAAAATAATGTTATAACTTTATTCACAATTCTTCCTATGTCAATAATTTTGCACTGAGCTAGATGGCAGAAGCAGCTCATCGGAAAGTGAATCTGGTCGAGCCTCAACAAAAAATTAAATTGACTTCAATATGACGACGAGACGGCAACTGATTTTTTTTTTGTGTAATTGCGAGGGTGAAAATTGGCAGCGACCACCGAATGGTTAGAGGCACGCTGAACCTATACGTCAAGTTGGAGAGGTCTCGTCTAATGAAGTCAACGCTCCATCCCCTTCATTCTCTAATCCAAAGTCCTGAAACCTTTCAGCTTGAGAGACTGCAATGCAGTGGACAATATGAATGACAAGCTTGTGGAAACTGTCTATGCAATTGGAGCTAAGTTCTACAAGACCTGTCTCAGAAGAACACAAAAACTCCGATTACACTCTTAATCTCATGGCTTTTAGACGGGAAATGAAGCTGTAGTCTTCAACAGATTTGACAGCATATTGGCAAATAACTGAACAGACATATCTGCAAATGCGGGATTTACATAATTTTCATACTGCTTGTATTGAAGAAGCGAATAGGTGGAACCAGTGCTCCAAAGTCTTTGCCAGATATCTGTCTGCCAGAAAGAGCCAACTGTCAAAGCTAAAGATTGAGTGTGTCAGCATTGTTTCTGGGACACCTGAGATTTTGAGTGAGATTGAGAAGTTCTATGGGCAACTGTACACATCATCGTTAGAACCACACGTAAGTGTGAGTAATGATCCACGAGCAAGTATTATCTGATATTACTAACTTACTTATCACTATGCCGTTGATATCTCGGATGTCAGTCTGTGCGAGATTAGAATGGCTCTTCAACACCTTAAAGATGGCAAGGCCACAGGCGAGGATGGAATTACAGCGGAGCTGAAACTGGGAGAAAAACCACTACTTAAAGTCCTTTAAAAGCTCTTCAATACTGACCTCCATGGTGGTGGTGGAGAGTCATTACGAATAGTCTCGCATGCAAACTCGAAGACGACGAAAGGGCCTTAGAACCTTAGACCACATACATATCCTTGAGCAAATTGCACAGAAGACCGAAGAGTACATTCTGCCACTTTGCCTTGCGTATGTGGACTATGAGTAAGCCTTTGATTCCGTCAACATTTGGGCGGTACTACAGTCAGCGCCAAATTGACTGTCGGTATATCGAAGTGCTGAAGTGTTTGTACAGTAAAGCTACGATGGCTATCCGAGTATAGAACCAGAGTACGAAACCTATCCAACTACAGAGAGGTGTAAGACAGGGCGACGTTATATCCCCAAAACTCTTCACCGCTGCATTGGAAGATGTTTTCGAGCTGCAGAACTACAAAGGATATGGTATTAACATCAATGACGAGTACATCACTCACATTCGATTTGCCGATGATATAGTTCTTATGGCAGAACCGCTGGAAGACTTAAGCACTATGCTCAATGACCTCAATAGTGTCTCCCAACGGATTAGTCTTAAGATAAATATGGACGATACAAAGATCACGTTTAATATCCCATGTCACACCTATGCCGGTAGTTGTTGGGAGCACTAAGCTTGTTGTTGTTGACGAGTCTGTTTACTTGGGACAAATAGTCTGGCTAGGTAATTCGAACTTCAACCGAGAGGTCGTGACGGATTTAACTCGGCTGGGCAGCGTTTGGGAAACTACGACATATCTTCTCGTCAGGGATACCTCAAAACCTGAAAACGATTTTGTACTACCAGTGCGTGTTGCCAGTGATGACTTATGGATCTGAGACATGGTCCTTCACTACTGGCCGTATGTGGACGCTCAAGGTCGCTCTGCGAGCTATGGAGAGGGCTATGCTCGGGGTTTCTCTGCGTGATAAACTTAGAAATGAAGATATCCACAGTAGAACCAGAGTGACCAACATAGCCCAATGGATTAGTAAGCTAAACTGGCAATGGGCCAGTCATATAGCTGGAAGAACCGACAACCGATGAGGAAAAAAGGTTTTCGAGAAGCAGCCTCGTACCGATAGGCGTAGTGTAGGGCGACCCCCACCAGATGGAGTGATTACCTGGTAAGATATGCAGGAAGTCAATGGATGCAGGTGGCTCAGGACCGTGTTATGTGGCATTCCTTGGGGGAGGCCTATGTTTAGCAGTGGACTTGAATGATGATGATGATGAGCAAGATGGGTTACACATTGAAGTGTAGTGGCAAAAATTTTGTCTGCGGCCCTGAATCCTGTCCAGAACTAGTGTTCACATGATCTGCAAGTAATTATTTGGGGCTGGATATTTGTTTCTTTGCACTTTATGTATGTTCTCACACCTCCATGATACAGGAGATTTCTTTTATAATGCGCGCGGCATTAGAATTTTATAGTAATATTTTGTTAAATATTAAAATATGTAACAAGTGGTATTAAAAGGCTTTTGGGATGTTTAACTATTATACTCTTTATTGATAACTGACATTTAACAAACCACTAATACTTTTGCAACACTGTAATAAATGTGTGCCTAGTTAGCTAGTTAGCACTATTATATAAATAAATATAAAAAATGCTACATTGCTAACATGGTAGTTATGCTTATGGTATGCTTTTTCAGAGTTGGACGAGTTCCTGCAAGAGTTGGACGAAGATGTAGAAGGTATGCAGAGTACAGTGTTATTCCTTCAACGTGAATTGCGTGCGACGCATACTGCCGTGAATGGTAATCGGGCGTCGTCTCCTGCTGACAAACGGACTTATTCAGGAAGTGAGTGTAGCGACACCCCTGTTGGAAAAAGGAGACGAGCCTCTGTCCTCTCTCTTGACTACAATGAAGAAGAAGAGCCTTTAACAGTGACTAATGGGGATGCAGACTAGCCCAGGACCGCAGTGTTCTTATACCGAACACGATTTTTAAATATGAACTAGTGAAAATTGTGAACCGCTATTGTATCCAATAAGCATACTACGGCAATTTTGTTGACTCAAAATTTTTAACAATAAAGTAAAGTTGTGAGTGATTTGTATATTTACTACTGTTGAGGTGAAATGCTAGTATTGTGTCAGTCACAAAAGCTGTGAACGCTTCTGCATTAGCACATATTGAAGTGTATCATGTTAATCAATGTACTTTCATTAGAAGACAAAATTATGCAAACAAACACGTGTCATTTCCATTGACAATGAATTGGTGATGATTGTGTCAGATGTGAAAATAAGACAAAATATAACATAAAACTATAGTTTGCGTTTATAGCACAACAGTGGACCATGTGATCAGATTTAATAGTGAATTGTTTTTGACATTGTTTTTATATTAATGATGGTATTGAGACAGACACTGAGTTGACGATTTTATATTTATTTATGTAAAGTGCATTACTTAATTGTGATATACATTATAAATTAGAGGAATCCTATTATATACATGCAAAGAAATTTAATTATGTTGCCGAATTCCATTGGTTTATGTCTGTTTAAAATAAGCGCCATTGTTGTTGAATGGGAGTCTGTTGTAGCTGTAACATCGAGCCTAATAGTATTTAAATGCCAATTTTTTTTTAAAGAAATTTTTGTTTATTTTTTCTTTAAAATTTAATATTACGATAAATGTATATAGAGCTATGTTAATAAACATATTATTGGCAACGGATTTAGTCTATTATTCATATTAAACACATTTAACTATTTTCCGAAAATCTCACTAAAATTGGAAGTATGGTTTTCGAGCGGCAGCTTCCGGAAGCTCAGCTAACCAGTAAACAAAATGTAGAAAGGTTTCCCACTAGATCGAGTGATAACCATCGAATATATACATACTACACACTAGATTTGGCATTCCGAACACTCACTATGTTCAACTGAACTGTACTGCAATCCGTACACCTGTTATTGTGGCGTCGATATTCATGCAGTGCGCAGCGGCGCTAATAATAATTTTATATTAAATTAGCAAATATGCAAAATAAACGAAAATTAAAAAAAATGTACTCGATTAACAATACAATCTAAATAAACAATTATTTATTATGACTATTTTCGCATATCAACTGGCGGATGCGCAGTTGATACAAACGCGCGAAAATAGTTAGACTCTACTGTTTCCCGCGCATGTGCGGATACTGAGTAGTGCACATTTTTTGTTTGGAATAGCTTCTCTAGTACCTAGTACATGTAACTCAATGGTGACGACAAATTTTTTGCATTCCAAGGAATGCAAAAGAAGAAGGCCTATGTTTTACAGTTGACTATTGAACGGCTGTAATGATGATGATTAGTATGTTCTGTATTCATTATTTTTTCAGTATCTCCACAGTACATAACTTTATAATAGAATAGTTATTAGAGAGATCTTGAAGCCAAGTTGTTATATATGTAATGTGAAAGTTACACCCTTTGTACGTTTTTATACGTGGTAGAGCCATACTGCAGTTATATTAGAAGTATAGTTGTAGCACGAATGGGTCGGTTCTACCAGGGAGGGACCACACTTTCACAGAATACCAGCGTGAAATAGTAGCTTGACGCTGCTGTTTTTCATATGATGAGTGTAGAGAACCGGAGACCCTTTTTACTGAAAACGAGGCATTCCATCTTAGTCCTCACGGGTGACAACACATCTGCATTTTGATTTGTAATAAAGGATAGATGTAGATTTCTATGGGCCGCAGCAACCACTTACCATCAGGTGGAATGTGTGCTCATTTGTCACCCTATCCTATAAAAAAAACAGGTATTTTTGGATAAATTTTCGATACAAAAAACTAAATATTCTCACTATTCTATCTGATGGCAAGTAGGTACTGCAGCCAATGGACACCAGCAACCAACTTTAAACATTATGTCCAGATGCCTGTAATACATGGCACTATTACACTTCAGTCTACTTTAGTGCAGCATACCGGTGAGTACACTGCTTCTTGTTAACGTAATGTATGCGTGGTGTTGACATTGTAAAATATCCTTCACGCAATCTCATCTCGTGGGTGTTACATTATGCCCTAAACTTCTAAGTCTCCGTTGTTGGTTGGTTGTCTAAACTATTAAGTTTTATTTTTTAGAAGAGGGCATAAACGAGCATGCGCCTCATCTGATGGTAAGTGACTACCGCCGCCCATAAACAACTGCAGGGCAATTGCAGGTACGTTGCCAGTCTTGGAAAGGAGTAAGCTTTTTTCTTGACGGTCAATAAAAATCGCCGGTGGTAAACGATTCCACAAGAGATCGTACAAGGAAGAAAACTCCTAGTAAAACGTATAGTTGTAGACCGCCAAGCATTCAGATGGTGGTGATGGTATCGTGATATTTGTCGCGACGTGCGTTCCTGAAATTTGGCGGCTGGAATTAATCCGAACAATTCCTCTGAGTACTACCCGTGGTAGATCCGATAGAAGATGCAAGACTTGCAACATCATTTCGCAGCGCCAGTGGATCGAGCTGATCGGAAAGCAATCGGTAGTCAACGTTTCGAGCTGCTCTGGGCTGGATGCGGTCAAGTGGAAGGAGCTCGTACTGGGGAACCCCGGCCCAGAGATGGAACAGTACTCCATGTGAGGCCGAACTTGCGCCTTGTGAAGTTACAGACGGTGTGCCGGAATGGAATCCTCTCGCTCTGTGAAGCACACCAAGATTTTTATAGGTCAATTTGGCCTTCTCTGAAGATTGAACTGGACTAGATTTAGTCGCCCAAAATCGGAGACTGTTCAACAAAGACTCGACTTATGACACAAGCTTGTTCCGGTACTCGGTGACGTTTTCCCGATAAATAATGGCACGGCGGGTGTATAGGGCACCACCAGTGCTGCCATCCGCATAGCAATCTATGTTACCGGGTTTGCAATATGTAATTGATATGCAGAAGAAACAGCTTTGGTGACAGCACGCAGTCTTGTGAAACACCAGTATTAATAGATCTGCAAGAAAGCTGGTGATCCAATTGCACAATTTCACGGGAAGACCATAAGATAGAAGCTTCGAAAGAAGCGATTTGTGCCAAACTCGATAAAAGGCCTTCGCTATGTCCAAACTAACCGCCAAGGACTCTCCTTTGGATTCGACCGCCTGCGCCCATTGGTGTGTTTGGTAAACAAGATCACGAGCTGAGGGACACCAACAGCAACCGTACTGGCGGTTACTAATCAGGAGATGATGGAGATAGGCTTGTAATTGTACGGATCAGAGCGGTTACCTTTTTTCGGAATCGGGTGCACGAAAGCTGTCTCGAACGAATTTGGGACTACGCCTAGGGAGTAGGAGTACCGGAAAAGACGTGCACCGGTTCCGGTGCTAACTCTTGAACCCACGTCATCAGCACAATTGGGGGGATCCCGTCAGGCCCACTCGGCTTGTTAACGTTCAGGGAAGGGAATGATTTGCCAACCGAGCGCTGTATGAACCGCACATCCGGCATGGAGCACTCACACCGCGGGATGGTCAGCGATGTGTTCCCACCGCATCGAAGGTCGAGTTGGACGTAAAGAGCCTAGCAGATCGGCTTTCTTCTTTGCGGCAAGGGCCAGTCGTTTCCCCTATGCAGAGGTGGGAGAGATGACCGGCAGAAGTTCCCTTGGACAGCCTTAGAGAAAGACTGGATTGCACGGGTTTCCGAAGAAGGAAGGCGAACTAGTTTCTCGCCAATTATTCCTATGTGGTTCTGACTTTGCCTTGGAAAAGACTTGAAGGACCTGTAGACGGAATCATACTCTTTTTAAGGGCGCTAGTGTTTACACCCCGGGACGTTGATGCGTCAGACCAAACCCGGTAGCACTCCTGCTCATAGCGTGATACTATTTTACAGAAACGACAAAACCATGGCTGGAATCTGCCTCCGATGGGCACCACAGAAGAAGGAATAAAAGTTCCATACTCTGAAGTACCACATCAGCGACAGAAGGTGCCGCCAGCAAAGGTAGCATGCAAAGAACGACCCAATCGGCCGACCTATAGTGCCAAACAAGGTGGCAGCCTACTGAATGCAACCGCGATGTTAGCATGAGTGGCACGGCACCACACTTCGGACTGGACAGTGGTCCGAGGAGCCAAGAAGGGCGTCGACGTAGACCTGATATCCGTCCGTATGATAGGTCAGCAGAAGGTCCAACTAAGGAAGGGTAAGTGCATGATCATCCACATCTGGAATCCGCGTAGGCGAAGTAACCAGTTGTGTCAAACTATACGTCAAGGCAAAGTCATAAACAGATCTCCCCGAATGATCGGTTAAACGTGAACCGAGCCATTCGGCGTGGTGAGCGTTAAAATCACTAAGGATCACGAGGCGCGTGGATGGTTGTCGCTGTCTACGCGTAACCAAAAGATGGACAAGTCCGAACCTTCAAAACGATAGATACGCAAACTCCAGCCCGAGACACAAAGGAGTGTTTCAATTTGTACCTCGGGTAGGAGAGATACGAAGTAGCAGCCGTAGAGGATACACCTACGTCTCAATTAGTAAGAGGCCGGCTTCGCCGTCTCCAGGTGGTAGTGGATGGTATTTAGGATCACCTTAGTCTTGTTGTTCAGCTTGCCCCAGTATTTTTTGTCTTGAGCGGAATTTTGCCTCCCCCCTCCTCTCCCCACCCCTCCCGAATACACGGAGCAGCCTAAGCACCCACGCTCAGGAGGTCTTCTGTGAGGTCGTAGTACCACCCCGGCTCAAACCGGCCCATAAAGGCCCCGGTTGTAAAGTGCACTGGAAGACTGGAAGAAATTCTGTAAGCAGCATAAAGTTGCGAGAGACATAGTACAACGATCGTCAACCTGCCAGGCAAGCTTAACCTCTTCAACGCCAAGCTTTAAAGGACTCAATGCCTCACCAGACGCCATGCTTAAAAATGTGTAAAGAAATAGGTAGTAAAAATAGAGATATGGATAATGTTTTA